ACGCGATGAGACCTGAATTCTATTTCAGGAAATTCTATTTCAAGCTGAAATTTGGGATATAGTTACAGAATACTTATGTATATTTGTCTAGAATTGCAATGTTATTGTCTATATAGTTACTTTGTATTGAATTTCAAGCTAAAATTAATTATTAGTTGATTAATTCATTACAATATCTACTTTATATAAATTATTATTAATAATTAACTTATAAAACTAGTTTATTAATATACTCTTTATTTTCTATATATGTTACAAAAAATCAATAGTGATAATAATAAGAATTCTTGTGACAATTAAAATTCTTCAAAATAGAGAGAAAGTTAACTGTATGATACCAAACTTAAAAAATACTTATATGGAGGAGATTAGTAGACAAACTGAAGTTGAATTTTTAGTGAGCTATATTATTGAAGTCAATGTAAAAGTTCAAATATATGAAAATGAGTTTATTTAAAAGATGAAAAGTATGATGCTCTCAAAGAAAGTTTACATATCCCTAGTCATCAAGGCTTGCTTGAGCTTTGTTTGGACAAAGAACAAGCATATAAACTCATAGTTAACAAATTTATTGAAGAATATATTAATTGGGGTGCTAAAAAGACAATTGGTGTTTTAATAAAAGTATCCACACGAATAAGACATCATAAAATTATTGGTGTCTCTTTACCTAAAACAAGCACAATTTTTTTTAATGATGACCTTAAAAATGAGCTTAGAGAATTTTTTCCTAAACATAAGATTAAAATAAGATAATTATTTTATATTGTTACTTTTGTTGTGAACTGGTTATAAATTATGTATTTTATTCTTGTTATGAAATGTTATTCATATTTTTTATATTTATTTATGTATATATATGATAGCATGTTTTTTCTTTTATTTGGCACGTATGAATTTCCATAAAACTAAGAGATTTTAGTAACCAAAAGTAGCACCTTACATGATTAATTACACTAATGATAATCAAATATTAGAATTATAGATAATGATTAGAAACATAATGTCCTTTTGATTATATGCCTAACACGAGATTATTGTTAGCATAATTAATACATGTTAAAGACGTAAATGTATGTTGTTAGGCATTGAGTAACCTGTATAATATCAATATGTATAGAGAAATGGCATCTGCATCAAAAAACATTGTTGCTGAGTTCAACAAATGAGAAAATTTGAATGACGAAAAATTATGAGATGTGAAGTATGAAAATGCAATATGTGCTTGAAGTCTGGAAGCTTTGAATGAATCCATGAATGAACCTAGAGAAGGGAACATGGCGCAACATCAGAGGAACCATACACCTTTTGAGACTTTGAAGAAAAAGAACTCTCCCTCTCACATTACGTTATTGAGCAGCATAGAAAATGACACCATGAGAGTTTTTAGGAAATATGACATAGCTAAGGACATATGATCCGCATTAGCTCAAAGGTTTGGTGGTACGTCATTGACCAAATTTCAGTCACTTACTATCAGGTTTTATACTTATAAGAAATGCCCTGATCATACAATGAAAAAGTATCTAAAGGAAATATCAAATATGATAAGTGAGCTGAAAAATATTGATCATGTTCTTACTGGTGAACAACAAGTCTAAGTTGTGATTCGTTCATTGCTTTAAAATTGGGAACATATGAAGATCCACCTAACCCATAATGAAGGCATTAGATCTCTTGAAGATTCCATGAGACATTTGGAGCTAGAAGATGATCGAATTGAGGCCAATAAGTCAAATATTGATGTGTACATGACTGGTTTTAGCTTACAAGGTGATAGAGGACATAAGCGTAAGTTCTGTGGTAGATCCCAACAAAAAGAAAAAGGGGGTTTCAAAACCAATAAGAAAAAAAAAAGTTTCACCAACAAGGGAAAGAAAAATGTTCTTTCAAGAAGAAAAACATAGAAAAGTTAAATGT